CGAATATTCATTGATTATTATTGTGAATGACGTCAAGTCGACCATTAAAGGTGGTGGTAGTAAAGACTACGTGTTAGTGATGGGAAGTTCGGATCATTTTTACTTGGATCTTTGAGTCTCGTTCAGCAAAATGAACGAATCTTTTTTCAAGTCATTTGGTTGATTTTAGCTAAATGTAATTAAAATGTTACGTGTTACTTCCCTAACACATCTACTACTTACGCAAACGTTGATCACACTACAAACAAGACAAAACTATAATGCTATAAGAAACAGAAAATATAAATTAATTGTTTACCTGGTTCTTCAGTCTATGCTAGCTCACCTCACCTCTTATCTGACAAGTCTTCGGGTTTGAATCGTTCGTTCATCATGTGACAGCCCCATAAGCTTAACCAATGCAGTCTGAGTTGGAAAGAGAATTGATTAGTTCATTTTTTGAGTCTTCGGGTTTGAGTCGTTCGTTCATCACGTGACAGCCCCATAAGCCTAACCAATGCAGTCTGAGCCGGAAAGAGAATTGATTAGTTAATCTTTTGAGTCTTCGGGTTTTTCGAGTCTTTTCCTGTGGTAATAAAGGTAATAAAGAGTTGGTTATGCTTTAAATTTTGTCCATATGATGGTGAAATCATTTTGATAAAGCAGAGATACTTGTTTTTTGTTTGTTTTTTGCATTGGTTAAGCTTATGGGGCTGTCACGTGATGAACGAACGACTCAAAAACCCAAAGACTCGAAACAGGTGAACTAATTCCAGTATATAACCTATAGGATGTTGCGTATGCGCGACTGAATGAATCACTCCCCAAGACGACTCGCTCTTCCCGAGTCACATTAAAGATTCATTCAAAATGAACGAATCGGTCAAGAACGACCCATCACTACTACGTGCTTGACGCAGTCGAATGGGGAATCTACCTATACATATTAATGGCCTGAGACAGCCTGGATAAAGCCGCAGTCACACTAGACATTTCACTAGACTTTTCGTTCCATTGACTTCCATTCATATGCATGCGAATGCGTCAGACCGGAAACGCAAGCCCATGCGAAGATATTTCGCATTTCACTGTTTAGCAAGTTCAAGTTTGGTGAACTCTGACATGTGAATTCGCGTCACGTGAGTGCGTGAGACCAATAGAAGATCAAAACATCACAAAGTGACCTCTCAGTACAGAAATTTAAAACATGGAGGAATAGCTAATTTTAGCAGTCGCAACATCATGTTTTGTACAACACAACTTTAAAAGATTACAAAAATCATAAAATAAAATCACATAAAAAAGAGAAGCGGCTTGGTTTGTGGTGGCAAGGGAAACAGGAGCGGATGGTATGTTTGAACAGTGAAATGTGTAAGTTTATGTGATTTTTTATTGCATGAGATTTGTATGTGTGCGTATGTGTACTTGATTAACTATACTTGTGACTGATTGTTATCACTTAAATAGAAAAGAATTATGACTGGTGAGTTGTGTGTGCTGTGAAAACCTTGGCGCATGATGTCATATCCAGCTTCCGCCCTTTTTCGCAGCACAGTCCAAACTAATTTCGCATGCTCAAGGGGTGCTTCTCAATTCTTATTTGTGCATCCTTATTTGCTTTCCTCGCATCTTAGCTCCACTCCTTCAGGATGCGAGGGAAGGACGCAAGGAAAAGACGCAAGGACGGAGGAATTGAATTAAGTGAAATGATATAGCCTATCCTCGCTCCCTTTAGCATCACTTCAAAGCATCATCAGCTGAGCTAAATGGATCTGCACTTATGTTGTAAAAGTTTGCTATTAAAGACATTCATAATAAATATTAATAAAGCAAGATGCCCTGCTTGAAGTATATGACATGTATGGTTTATTTAAACTGCAAAGGGTAAATCTAAATTAAAATGATTACAACAGATGTGAAGGGGGAGGAGAATTTAAACGTGCGTCAGATTTTTCAATGAAAAACACTTGTGTATCCTCGCTCATAGCTCCTCTGGAAGCCTCCTCACTCCTCGATTCTCACCTCCTCGCGGTGCAATTAGAGAATTGAGATGTCCTTCAAGATGGCTGAGCTTGATCGGTTTCCGGGTCGTAGGATGGAGGACGGAGGAGCGAGGAAACGAGGATGGATATTGAGAAGCACCCAGAGAATTGAGATGTCCTACAAGATGGCTGAGCTTGATCTGTTTCCGGGTCGTAGGATGGTCGGAGGATGGAGGACGGAGGACGGAGGAACGAGGAAACGAGGAGGGATATTGAGAAACACCCAAAGTCTAGTGTGACCGTGGCTTAACACCTAATTGCCTAACACACCTGTCAATCAAAAATTAGGCAAAAACACATTTAATTTATTTTAGTTATTTGAGATTTTATAATAGTTTTGTAATTGTGTGAAAATAGATTAAACAATAATTATTTAACAAATATTATCTGTTGCATTCCGAGTCTTCTGAAGCCATACGATATCTTTATTCGAAGAACAGAGTAAAACACAAGGTATTAATCGCTGAAAATGATCCTGCTCTGTTAATGCTGTCATATTTCATTTAAAAAATACTCCCGAACATTAGCATGATGCAATCAGTCACAAGGCACACAAGAGCCAATGGCATTTCACCTCCAAAGCTGACGTAACGCTTCTTCTGGAAGCAATTTTTGAATTTGTGCACACAGACTGCACTTTACGGTGTATGGAGATGGTGATCATGTTTGTTCCTCTAACAAATTAATCGTTTTGGTTTGGAAGACTTGAAATATGAATACTTTTTGAGTAAATTGTGATTGTAGTTGTATCTGCCTTTTATATCCTGTGTTTTATATTGACAAATGGTTACGTTTAGGGGTAGGGGTTGGGTTACATGCTCAAAAAGGTGTAAATAGTGTAATGTAATTAAAATAGACGTGACTGTTTAAATTGAAAATCACACCCAAACATATACTGTAGTGGCAAAATTATTACCCAGTACAGTGGGGAAATATTTATTTGATCCCCTGCTGATTTTGTAAGTTTGCCCACTTACAAAGAAATGAAGGGTCTGTAATTTTTATGGTAGGTTTATTTTAATGGAGATAGACAGAATATCAACCAAAAATCCAGAAAAAACACATTATATAAAGGCCAGAAATGTATTTACATTTCAGTGAGTGAAATAAGTATTTGATCCCCTACCAACCAGCAAGAATTCTGGCTCCCACAGATTGGTTATGTGCCCATGTGGAACACAGATTAGTCCTGCCACTTTAAGAAGTTGCTCCTAATGTCAGCTCATTAGGTGTGTAAGACACCTGTCCACACATTCTATATCTTCCATTCCAACCTCTCCCACCACCATGGGCAAGACCAAAGAACTGTCAAAGGATGTCAGAGGCAAGATTGTAGATCTGCACAAGGCTGGAATGGGCTACAAGACCATCAGAAAGAAGCTTGGCGAGAAGGAGACAACTGTTGGTGCGATTATTCGGAAATGGAAGAAATACAAATCAACCATCAATCGGCCTTGGTCTGGAGCTCCGTGAAAGATCTTGCCTCATGGGGTAAGGATGATCATGAGAAAGGTGAGGGATCAGCCCCAAACTACACGGCAGGAGCTTGTTAATGATCTTAAGGCAGTTGGGACCACAGTCACCAAGCAAAACTTAGGTAACACACTACAATGCAATGGACTGAAATCCTGCAGCACCCGCAAGGTCCCCCTGCTCAAGAAGTCACATGTACAGGCTCGTTTAAAGTTTGCCAAAGAACATAAAAATGATTCAGAGAAGGCTTGGGAGAAAGTGCTGTTGTCAGATGAGACCAAAATTGAGCTCTTTGGCATTAACTTTACTCGCCGTGTTTGGAGAGAGAGAAATGCTGACTAAGAACACCATCCCTACAGTCAAGCACGGAGGTGGAAACATTATGCTTTGGGGCTGTTTTTCTGCTAAAGGTACAGGACGACCTCACCGCATTGAGGGGCAAATGGACAGGGCCATGTACTGTAAAATCTTGGACGAGAACCTCCTTCCCTCAGCCAGAACACTGAAGATGGGTCATGGATGGGTCTTCCAGCATGACAATGACCCGAAACATACCGCCAAGGCAACAAAGGAGTGTCTCAAGAAGAAGCACATTAAGGTCATGGAGTGGCCAAGCCAGTCTCCAGACCTCAATCCTATTGAACATCTGTGGAGGGAGCTGAAACTTCGAGTTGCCAAACGATTTAGAGAGGATCTGTAAAGAGGAGTGGATCGAAATCCCTCCTGAGATGTATGCAAACCTGGTGACCAACTACAAAAAACGTCTTACCTCTGTGCTTGCCAACAAGGGTTTCTGCACCAAGTACTAAGTCATGTTTTGCTTGGGGATCAAATACTTATTTCAATCACTGAAATGCAAATCAATTTCTAACCTTTATATAATGTGTTTTTTCTGGATTTTTTGGTTGGTATTCTGTCTCTATACGTTAAAATAAACCTACCATAAAAATGACAGACCCTTCATTTCTTTGTAAGTGGACAAACTTACAAAATCAGCAGGGGATCAAATTTAATCATTTAATAATGACACCATGAATGTGCAGCTGATAAATCTGCAGCAATTGTATCATGCTATCATGTCAACAGAGACCAGAATCTCTAAAAATATTTCCACTCCCTTACTAAATCCATACCACAAAGAAATCAGGTTGTTCTCGGGACAAAGGGGTTTGTAAAAGTTGTACCTGATCAAGTGGCTATGTATAAAAAATGGCCATGAATGGAAGTCAAGGTACCAGAAGCTGCAAACATTACAGATAATGAAATTCTTGCAACTATCAAGACCATAGTGTGCACTTTCTGATATTGTCACCACAGTGTGAGTTGTGAAACAACAAAAGTTGATGATAATCACTGACCTGTGATCAACTCTTCCTTTAAATGCTAGATCAGTTAAACTGATCTGGATGCAGAGCATACTGCAGCTTCTGCCATTATCTTCCAGGTGTGAGTCCCTTGAATCTCTCTATAAAAGCAGAACCTAACATCTCTGTGGCGCACACAGAGCGTAACTGAGCTGTCTACAATGAGCATCCTTTGGCATATCACTTGTCTGCTACTGCTGCGCTCCTGCACTCCAGGTAATTACATCTAGTCTACTTCAGTACAACAGGTTCACTGTGTTCCCAGAATATGCTGTTGAATAGTTTCATAGAACTAAACTCTTTTTTAGGTTTCTCCATGCATGATGGCATTGTTGGTGGTAAAGTCTCCGTTCCCCACAGTCGACCCTACATGGTCTACATTTGTAATAAGATATCAAAAGTAGCATGTGGTGGTTTTTTGGTAAGAGAGGATTATGTGATGACAGCTGCCCACTGTAAACAAAGGTAGGTGAAATGATCATATTTTAACATTTTCAGTCAGAAAATCATGAATCAGAAAGAGTATACAAACTAAGTGCAGGCACTTATTGTCTAAAAGTTTATGAAAACACACCTGCTGTCAAGTCAAGTGACCTTTATTTCTGTAGCACTTTATACAATACAGATCGTTTCAGCTTTACAGTAATAAACAGGAAAATAGCAGAATAAATTATGGATCAGTTTCAGTTCAGTTCAATAACATTGTAAAGTTAATATGTTTTGAAAAGTTCTACAAGTTTTGAAGCAGCTCTACAGAAGGCAGCAATATCATTATTCAGCTCAAGTCAGTTCAATGTTGATTCAACTTAGTTACAGTTTAAAAACAGAGTTGATGTTGCAAGATGTGATTCAGCTTAACCAGCACAAAAGAAAACAATAGTGTCATTATCCAGTTTAGTTCAGTTCAAGTTTTACTCTCATCTGTTGCTATCAGTGCAGAGACATATTGATAATATTACTGAACATTAAGTGTCTTTTAGATTAGGGACTTTTGACCACCAAAGTGGCAGTCATGTATTTGTATTGTAAATATATATTAATTTTGTAACTCTGGTCTCTATGATATCTATTTATTTATTTAATTTTTTAGTCATCTTATGGTCTATTTGGGGGTCAATGATACCAACGTTTTACCTGACGGTATAGAGGTAGATCCCGTTCCACATCCAAAATTTAATATGAAGAGAACAGATCATGACATCATGCTTCTAAAGGTAATATTTAAGATTTAACAATTTTATTAGTATCATGCCATTGACATTTGCAGAATGTACTTTTGCTCAGCTTAACTTGCAATGAATGCATTATCTTTAATCTCTCCAAAAACACTGAATGAAATGTAGTGGTTATTGACTGAACCACAAACTCTGCATCTTCTCTTTCAGCTCAAAACCCCAGCAACTTTGAACAAAATTGTGAGTACTATCGCTTTTCCAAAACCTGAGAATGAACAAATCCAAAAGGACTGCATGGTCATGGGTTGGGGCTGGAAAAAATACCATGATGAGTCTCCATCAAATGTGCTCAAAGAAGCAAACGTGACTCTGATAGACTCTGAAAACTGTGGCACGGCTGACACTCTGTGCACTGAGGGATCAGCTGAACCAGCACGGGTATTTCAAGTTGCACCACTCACAAATTCTTATCTACTGTATGGTGTATCAGTGTCAGTGCATTGTGATATACTAATAATCAAATGGTATAATCCACAGGGAGACTCTGGGGGTCCTCTTGTTTGTGGAGGTGTTGCAGAGGGAATTGTGTCTTTTTCCGAAACCAAGAGCAATGGAGACCACCTCTCAGCATACACTCGAATTTCCCACTATTATCCATGGATTCAGAGCATCATTAATCCACCTACTCAGCAGCAACCTGAAACATGGAAGGGCAAGCTGGATTAACTCATAGTTGTCTGGTTCAATGCAAGTTCTATCCATTATGTTTGGTGTTAATTTTACACCAATCAGTATATTTGTGACATTAAATCTCCAAAAGTCTAATAAGAACGTAATTTTCTGTGTCTAAAATCTACTTGAGTATTTGGCCAGTAGCTGGTCACCAAGTGCATTGTATCATTGCTAGAACTAACCTGGAAAAAAACTATGCTAATTAACTTGCAATGCAAAGTACTGAACAAAATACTGTAAAGAAAATGTATGCAAATGACAAGATCACAAGATTTTAAAATGAACACATTTCTACAGCATCAACACTTTTAGCAAAATATAGCACAATCAAACTTGAATCTAGACATCAGATTGATTGCTCTGAAGAAAAGTAATTTAAAAAGGTCTTATCAGAAAGATACTAATGCTAATAAATAAACACATTGATAATAAAAATCATGCATCTGAAACAAAATAGCCAATTAATGCTCCTCAAGCAGCTACACAAAATTCAAATCAAATAGTAATTGGTTTGATTCTACAAGTAAATGCGCACCTCATCTTTCCATGGAAATGAAGTAATTTCATTAAAGGTTAGCTTGCTCCTCTACTTTTCAAATGCAATGCATCAGTCTGAAAAATTAAATGGTGTTTTATACTATACAGAAGATAGAGGGGAAAAAATCAAGCAGTTAAAAGTGTTTTTTTTTCCGAAATAAGATGCTATATTATGACATTTGTTGACTGAACAGGTGAGAAATCTGGGAGAAATCAAGCATCTTTGAAAGATGGGCTGTTTGACTGTCAGCTACTTACAACTCTTGACAATGTAACTCCAAACTAACACCTGTAATCTCCACATTTGCAAAGACTAAGTTTGAAAAGTCGTACAAAGACATTACATGTCAGAGAGTTTCTACTACCACAAGAGATAAGGGGACTTAATTAAGTCGTGAAATGTCTTGAGCAGCAAGGAAACACTGAGAACATTCAGTGCATAAAAACATGCACGCATACAAAAATGCTGGGTTAAAAACAACCATTTCTGGGTTATTTGGCAACCCAGCGCTGGGTTAATATTGGACAGAACACATGCTGGGTTATTTTGCCCCAGCTTGTGGGTTTTATTCACTAACCCATTTGCTGGGTTGATTTTTGACATAGTGCTGGGTCAGTCAACCTATTGAAGGTTTTTCATTTTAAATAATAAAAATACACTCTAAAATCTGTGTCTTTTACAATCATAAAATCTTCAAAAACATTCAGTAAATGTTTTAGGACGTAACAGGAGCAGCAAGAGCAGCCAGTGGGAATCTGTGGAAAGAAAATTGCTACCAGTAGGCTGTTCTAGTTTATTAAATTACTTATATTTATGACATATTCATGTTTGAAAAGTTACATCAAAAACAGCTTTACCTCGTGGCATCTTGTCTGTCAGATATTTAAGTTTCAACCCGTCAAACGCATAGCACAACTACAGCTGCAACAATGGTGCACTAGATCAATAACGCTTCTGTTGTAGTCAGTGGAGCGCACAGAATCTTAACAGTGAAGTCGTGTCGTGTTTCAGCCCAGGGGCTGGTTGCATAAAAGGTTTAGACTAGTCTTACAAGTTAGTCATTCAATTTTTTTTCCTTTAAGACTGGCCATAATTTTTTTAATTCAGATATATTAAATTGTAGATTAGTAAAAGTTGAATCCAAAAATAAGACTAACTGCTAGTTGGTCGAACTCGTACTTAAGACACAGTCTTAACATAGAGGCTAAGTTTATGCAACTGGCCCCTGGTCACGCATCCATTTGGCTGGAGGTGAAACTTCCACGGTGGTGCCGACACATTGTTTGCTTTGAGTGTAGATCCAGTGAATACTGCATTTGTAGAAGGCTAGTGTTCCAAGCAGACGTAAGCGGCATGCAACGTACATTTAAACAAAAAAAGGAAAAATGTAAGACTTCAGATATTTTTCTATTTTTACAGCAATAATATTAGAGAAATACAATGTAATAGATACCTTAATTTAATTCAGGAAGTTTCCAGTCAGTCAAGTTTCTCTCAGGACAGAACACAAAATGACTGCTGACAAATGTATCCAGTTTTTACGATTTGGCACAGTTTACCCAACATTGGGGTACACTGACCCAGTGCTGGGTAGGTATGGAAAGCTTCAGAATAAGCCAGCTGAAGTAGCTGATGTTCTCAATAATTATTACATTGATTCAGTAGAAAATATCATTAAGTATTTTACTCCTGAGTATAAGAACACTTTTTTATCAAGTTAGACAGAACCAGCTTTCAACATAGAACCTGTCACTGAGTCAGATGTGATGAGAGTGATTAGATCCCTTAGGCCATCTCGAGCTAAAGATGTCATTGGGATGAATACATGTATGTAGAAAGAGCTTTCTGAAGTATTAGTCAACCCGATTACAAAAATGGTAAATCTTTCATTTACTCATGGGATATTCCCAAATGTGTGGAAATTAGCTGCTGTAATTCCCGTATTTAAAGGAGGTGATCATCTATCCACCAGCAACTACAGACCTTTTAGTATTTGCCCGTGGTTTCCAAGGTGGCCGAAAAACTAGTTGCAGAACAAATTATAAATAATTTAAATACCAGTGCTTATCCTTTACACCCACATCAGTTTGTTTTCCGTACTAATCATTCAACCGATACAGCCAATTGCTATCTTGCATTATCTTTGCGTGTATATTGATATTATGATATTATTTATACATTGTCATTTTGTTTGACAGTTGGATTGTGTGTGTATGAGTAAGCTGGTATTGATTTGTTGGTTCTATGTATAGTATAACTTTTAAGCTGATGTTTTTTTGTTTTGTTTTCTAGGAATAGTGTGAATGTTATATGCATTTTGGAGTATGTAAGTATTATGTATTGATTAATTCTTTATATTTTAGGGTGACAATTTTACCATCAGTCCAGGGACTGCAGATGCAAAATAGCCTGGCTAATTCTAGCACATTGTGCATTTATGTATTGTTGATATGCATTGTCCCTGTAAAATAAACCTGAAATAAATAAATAGATGGGGAGCAGGGCAATTAATAGTGAATATGACCAAAATAGGGTATTCTTTTTTATATGAATAATAAAATCGCTATAATTCCCGTATTTAAAGGAGGTGATCATCTATCCACCAGCAACTACAGACCTTTTAGTATTTGCCCGTGGTTTCCAAGGTGGCCGAAAAACTAGTTGCAGAACAAATTATAAATAATTTAAATACCAGTGCTTATCCTTTACACCCGCATCAGTTTGGTTTCCATACAAATCACTCAACAGATACAGCCAATTGCTATTTTATAGAAAAAGTTAAGTTATTGTTGGACCGAGGAGGGGTTGTCGGTGCCGTCTTCCTAGATTTAAAAAAGCCTTCGATACCATTAATCATGGAATTCTCTTATCTAAATTGAATGCATTTAATTTTTCTGTAGACACCATTAAATGGGTAAAATCATATTTAAAACATCGGACTCAGTTGGTTAGAGCGAAGAATTATCAATCAGGTGTTGTTTCTTTGTCAGCAGGTGTCCCACAAGGTTCAATCTTGGGCCCACTTTTATTTTCTCTGTATGTAAATGATTTGCCAAATGTTTGTTTCAATTCCAACATCCAGATGTATGCTGATGACAGTACACAGTAGTTTTTTGTACAAGCTAATAGTGCAGCTCAAGCTGCTAATCAGCTAACAAATTCAATGTTAAAGATCACGGAACGGCTAAAACATAATTGCTTACAACTAAATGTATCGAAAAATGTATGTATGTTTTTCAGTAAAACTAAAAGTTGCCGTGCGGAGACAGATGTAGTCATAGATGGGGAGAGACTACAAGTTGTCTCAGATTTTAAATATCTGGGTGTATATATTGATAGCAATCTTACTTTTAAAACACACATCAAGAAGGTTTGCAATCACATTAAGTTCAACTTGGCAAATTTTAGATATGCCCACAGCTGCATGTCAACTAGGCTGCGAAGATGTTTATGCATTCAATGATCTTCTCACATGTCACCTATTGTTTGACAACCTGGTCACAAGCGAATAATACTTCTCTCAAACCAATTCTCTCTTTATATAAACAAACTTTGAAAGTTTTAGATAGGAAATCCATACACCATCATCACTGTGATATTTAAAAAAAAAAGCAATATTTTAAGTTGGGAAAATTTGATTATATATACAGATCTTTGTCTTATGTATAAAATCAGATATGGACTGGCTCCTCCTGTATTGAGCCAGTTTGTAAACGTAGCACCATCAGGTTACAGATTAGCGAGAAGTGCAGTAAGAGGTGTTTGCATAGTCCCTTTAAGAAACAAAATGCATTTAGTCAAACAGTGTTTTCAGTTAGGGCTGCACGTGAGTGGAACTCCATCCCAACTTACATTACAAATTTGAATACTTATGCCTCCTTTAAGTTTCCCTTAAAGAAGTGGTTAATTGAGAGTCAGCACTGTCAACATTAATTTTATAAACTAAACTCTGCTGCTGTCTTGTCTTTTCTGCTCTACTAGTTTGAGATTTTTATGCTATGTATATGAGGATGTTTGGTTTAGTAATGATTGAATGATTAGGGCTATTGTTACTTGTCTGTATGCTTACATTATCTTTGCATGTATATCGAGATGATATTATTGATACATTGTTTGTTATTTTGTTGACAGTGGGATTGTGTGTGTATATGAGTGAGCTGGTATTGATTTGTTGGTTCTATGTATAGTATAACTTTTAAGCTGATGTTTTTTTGTTTTGTTTTCTATTAACTTAAATGATTTTAGCAAATGGCTGCAATATAACAAAGAGTGAAAAATTTAAGGGGGTCTGAATACTTTCCGTACCCACTGTATGTATGTGAGGAGGTTCATCATTTGTATTGACAGTAAAAAACGACCCAGCAGCTGAGTTACAGAAAAATTACCCAGCACCTGGCTAAAAACTATTAAAAATAACCCAATAAAATGACACAACAAGCTGAACCCAGCATTTGGG